ATACTAAAAAATAATAATTTTTTCATGAATCTATAATGTAATATGTTAAATTAAAATATTTACCCATCAGAGTCCATACTTAAAAGGATGAGTTTATTGAAGGAATATGTATTACACTTTGACCATGTTATACATGTGAGTAATGATAGGGGATGAAGGAATGGGACGAAATGAGGAATGAAGGAATGAGACAAAATTAGGGGACCAATAATGTGGTATAAGACTATAAATTGTATTATTAATTGAGTTGATATATATAATATCATGAATTTTAATAAAATGAAAAAAGTTAATTATTAAATAATATAAAGTCTATTTTTTAATTCTTAAATAATATAATTAACTTATATCATATTATTTATCTTAAATTTTAGTTTCATTTATCATTATTTTACACATATTCTATCCAACCAAACTAGTCACGATGAAAATGTGATTTATAAGATAAATTAGTTAGAAAATATGAGATTGGGAATGCATATTTCTTACATGCAATAATCTACATTAGCAAGTGATAGTTAATAAAAAATAGCCAACAAATAACAAAAAGTGTTATCAGATAAAATAAATAATTTATCTATTAGACTTTCAAAAAAATTAGACAAAAAATACTAAAAAATTAAGTTGTTTTATTGAATTGTTATTGCAAAAAACCTAACTTAACATATTTTTAAATAAAAAATGAAATTATTTGTGTCTTTTTTGTGGTACTTTAATTAATTTGAGAATGTTTTTTTTCTCTTCATTTTTAAAAATTCAACTAATAACTACTAAAATCTATCAAATATTCCAATTTTATTTCACATTGTTAGAAGAAATGGATAAAAGGTAAGAAATATGTAATCCTAATCCCTTCTATTCTCTCAATAACTTACCTAATAAATGTACTTTCAACATTAAATACATAATCCACTAAGCTAACCCAAAGAACTTTGAGAATAAGGCTATGTTTGGTTTGAGTTAAAAAAATAAGTATAGTTGTTAATTCTTAGTTGATAGAACAATTAAAATCAATTATTTAATAATTTGAAATAGATTGATTTGCAAACACTTAATTCAACTTTTGAAGGGAAAAAAAGTCAATAGGTCTATAAAACCAATGAAGCCCAACGCACCCTATGAAACAAGCTAGAGGGCCGAAAGGGATTTTAGGCTCTCAGCAATTGTTTTATCGGGCTTACAAAAAAAGGCCCGATAGCTTGAAAAATAGATGTAGCCCACCCAAAAGCCCAAACGAAGGCCTTCACAGTTTACCAATGTATAAGAGGACACAGTTATAATTACTAATAATAATATTATGAGGATTAAAATTATAAAATGTTTTTTTAAAAAAATGCTTTACGTGATAATTTAAAAGGCCCCAATTCATCTCGTCACATAGAAGCTTTTTATTTCACCATTCATCTAAATTCATGATCTTTTCATTCTTCAATAATTCTTCAATAATTGATTGATATTTAAATTCATTAACTAAATATTAAATAAATCGTAATAATTTACTATAATCTTCAGGTGGTTCTTTTCCTTTAGTATCCCTTGGTTTTCTTTTCCTTCTCAAATACTGAATGTGGTGGAACTCTAAATGAAGCCAAGTGGAGTGTGAAAGATAGAAGGTGAAAAGTGAAACATCCATTAAATCATATAGTTTATAATAGATTTTAATTTTTCAATTTTATTTAAGATTACCCCTTATTATGTAATACATGAGTAGAAAAAAAACTTTTGAACTTTGTTTAAAAATTTTGGTATAGTTAAAATGGAAAAGAGAAAATCAGGATGTTTAAGTATTTAAAACACCAAAATATCTAATTACAACTTTGAATTTGATAAAGTTGGGGTTCATACTATATCTCACATATTTAATAATTATAATTGGACATTTTAACATTTTAAATGATAGTACATTTTGATTTTTCCTTTTACCTAATTAAAATTTATTTATATTTTTTGAATTTTATTATAACTTTATTAAATTATATCTAAAATTAAAATTTTGAATAATATTTTCATTGAAATTAATTAGTATAATTGACAACTAGTTCTGTTGTTAGTTATATAAATTTTAGAAACTAGGTCAGTTAGTTCTATTTATTTGTTATTTACTCAAGAGCTACACTAAAAAGTATTGATTATAATTGATAATGAGAAAATGTATATCGATCCCAACTCCTAAAATAAATTGGAGTTTTAAATTTAAATTATATCATTTTATTTAATTAAAATTCAATTCAAAATTTAAAAATGCATTTTATTAAATATTGAATTTAGATTGAAAACTAATTATATTAGAATATAAAATTTGTTTCTAAATTTATGTATCAATATTTAATATAGTGAAATTTTAAATTTTGAATTGAGATTCCAATTTCTAAATATAAGTTGGGACTCTAATTTTTTTTAGAGTCAAAATTGATATGCACTAACTTTATTGATGATACTATTCATCAATTATATTTATTTTTTAATATTATTTACATTTCAAGAAATCTTCTTAACCTATAGCCTAACTGTCAGTTATTCCTACTTATAATCAACAATCTTTTTTTTTTTTGTCCATTATAACTATTTTAAACTCATTTTTATTTGATAGTTTAAACTATTGATTATAGATATAATTGATGACTAAAATCAGTTAAAATAGGAGTGTTCATATCCCAACCAATCCAATTGTTTTGAACCAATCCAGTTCAATTTAAAACTGATTAAAACTGTTATTTAATTGAATTAAATTGGATAAAAAATTTAAAACTACTTAAATTGATTTGGCTTTCGGTTTTGCTATATGAAAACCAAACTGTACCGATAATCCAATTTTAATAGAATTAATAAAAAAAAATATATTCTTTCTCATTTCTTATATGCTGAAACAGTATCAATTGCCTTAAATCACTTGGTTGTTGCGTTTGAAATCCATATTCAGACTTTAAGGCGATTAGACTCTTTCTTCTCATGTTTATTAAGATTTATAAACACAATATATTTTATATTCATCTATAATGCCTCTATCTTGATTTGATCTTTTAGATATTGCCAATTGTTGTTCATATTGTTCTTAGATTCTTAAGGTACTTGGGATTTTTTTTGAAGATATATAATTACTTTAAGTTTGCATAAGTTGATTAAGATATATAATAATATTGTAAGTAATAGGGGTGAGCATTCAGATGGGTAACTGAAAGATTACTCGGAAACTGAACCAAAAAAATGAATCTGGTTTGATTTTAATGGTTTTTGAGTTTTACTGTTTTGGTTTGATATTAACTGAATAAATTTTGGTTCGGTTTCAGTTGAATCTTTCACTAATCGAAAACCAAAATGAGTTTTTTGAAAACCGAATTTGAATAAATATGACAAAATATGATAAAATATAATATGAAATATAATCTATTATTGGGAAAAAAACAATAATTAATGTTTATTGGTAAAAAACGAAACCAAATATAAAATAACCAATTTTATTGGTAATCAAACCGATTGGTTGGTAAAAAAATTGGTTTGGTTTCCATTCTCAAAATTAAAGAAAATTTTTTTTGGTTAATTTAAGACTGGTTTTGGTTTCGGTTTCAACTGGTTTTCCCCCACCCCTAGTAAGTATGTCACTATTTATTACACGCATGCACAACCAATCATAAGTTGGGGAGCATTCACTAGAAAAATAAAGATTACTTTCGTTGATAAAAGAAAAAAAAAAAAGAATAAAGATTATTTTCTTTGGTGATTGTGATTTTCTGAATTTTTTTTAGAAAAATATATTTGAATTTTTTTCAAAGAAAAAGTATAGTTATATATTTTACATAATTAACTCATGCTTTTATCTTTGTATAATTGAAATTTATGAAATGAAGAAAAGTATAATCAAACCCCTAATTTTTTTTTCTTTTTAAGAAAATCAATCAATCCAATCCAAACTAATCTAATTTAATAATAGTTGGATTGGTTTGGTTATAATATATTAACTAGATTGGACTGATTTGATATTTTTTCAATTTGATTAAATTGAATTGAATTGGAAAATGGTTAGAAACCTATATATCCAAACTACAAACACCTATATATATATAGAGTAGGGATTTTATACACATTTGTATAATATTTTGATCATTTATCTTTATATTTTTAGTAATTAAAATTTATCACAACTTTTTAGATAAAAAGATAAAATTATTTTTAATAAATATGATAATAAATAAATAAATCTCAACCAATAAAGTTAAGAGATAAATAGCTAAGATTTTGTATAAATGTGATATGTAAAATTTGTGTTTAAATGGATCTTAACATATACATATATAAAGGGTTGGTGTTTATTTTTCTTGCCTCCTAAAGATTAAAAATGAAATTACTTTATAACTATGTTGTTTTAGTAGAACACCAAGAGAAATGATAAAAAAATACTCTAGTTTATACTATAAATATAGAGTATTTGAGTTTTTTTTAAAGAGGGTTTATTGAAATACTGTAGTTTTGAAATAATTTTCTTTTTAATTTTTAAAAAATAAGACAGATAGGTATTATTTTCTATATATAAATAGTTAAAATTTTATGTGAATATCATATGTAAAACTTATGTGTAAATATATCCTAACTTATACATATATACACAATAATGTATATCAACTTTAGAAATTGATTGGAGTTCTAATACTAAGTTACATTATTATATTTTTAATTAAAACTAAACACACCAATGTTATTGATACCATATTGTACTGGTCTGTATGACTGGTACGTATTGATTTTTTCATTAGGTTGAAACGGTACATGGTTCAATTTCATTTTGGTCAAATTTCGTCTGTTTTGGTCAAATTTTGGTGTACCAATCTGTAATACCCCAAATTTTCGAGAATATTTAAGTGTAAGTTAAGGACTTGATTGTGAGAAAATATTGTTTTGGGTCTAATAGCCAACATTCCCAAACTCGAGGGACTTAAAAGAGGAGAATTTGGATAAGGATGGCTTATTTCTTTTCTCCCTTTTCCTCTTTCTTCTCCAGCCCGTTTCTGCTCTTGTCTTCCCGCTACAGCCCGAGAGAAAAAAAAAAGAGGAACCCAGCCATGCCTTGGGAAACTAGTGAGATAAGCTTGGTTTTCTCCTTCCTTTCTTGCTCTAGAACACACCTAGAACCTAGAAATTTCCCCTCCCCCTGCTGGAAAACCGGATCTGCTATGCTCTGCTCCTCATCGCCGGCTGCTCCTGCTTGTGGGGGGCGAATTGCTTGGGTTTTGGACCCGTGAGTTTTCCCTGCAGCTTGCCGCCGGCCTTCTTCCCCCTGCCATGTCCGGTTTCTGCAGCTGTAAATTCTGGTATGTGGCAGCCTTAAACCATTGTTTTTAAGCTTGATTAAGGTAGAATTAGCTTGATTAGTTTGCTGCCGTGTGATGTCCGAATTTTGGTAGAAAAATGGGGGAAATTCCGGTAGCCTTTGAGCATGTTTTAAGCTTGGTTTAAGTGTAAATTAGCTTGATTAATTGTTGTGATTTTTGGAGAGA